ATTTCATCTCAATACATTTTCCTTTTTTTTTTTTTTCTTGAGATGGATTCTCACTCTGTTGCCAGGCTGGACTGCAGTGGTGCAATCTCAGCTCAATGCAACCTCCGTCTCCTAGGTACAAGCAATTCTCCTGTCTCAGCCTCCCAAGAAGCTGGGACTACAGGAGCACGCCACCACACCCAGCTAATTTTTGCATTTTTAGTAGAATGGGGTTTCACCATGTTGGCCAGGATGGTCTCAATCTCCTGACCTCATGATCCGCCCACCTCAGCCTTCCAAACCACTGAGTTTACAGGTGTGAGCCACTGGGCCCGGCCTATTTCCTTTTTAATTAAGACTTTAGCCTTTCAAAACCTACCTCTTTTGATTTCTCTACAATGCATTCAAGCAGCTACTTTTTGCATCATGAGTTTTTATTTCGTTCTCTATGCAAAGCTTGTTGTTATAACAGGATTTGTTATTACAGCTCAAAAAAAATCAGTATATGTTTTATAGCCTTTTGGACTATAACTATTTTTAATATCTATTACTTAGATTATTAGTTTCTTATAGTCAAGGACTCTGACTCAATATCTTTGGTTGTTCATGGACTGACATAGAGTCAGCTGTAAATGATTATTAATGTTTTGGTTGCACTTCTTATCCTCACTCTAGACGCCACACAAAAAAGTCCTGTCTGCATACTTCTCTTCGGAACTGCTGTATACATCTCTACTTGCTATTTTCCTGATTGCTAGTATTGCCCTTCTGTTCTATCCCATGATACATTCCTGGTATTATTAAAACATTTTTTAAAAATACTTTTTAAAAACACTTTTTAAAAATACACAGTTGTTTAGGGTCAGGAAATAAAAAACTTCCTGTCCCTAAACAACTGTGATCAGAGCATAATCTATCATACTATCAAACCTCAACAAACATATTCTCAATGTCCTGTGTCTAATCAAATGCTTTAAGTGAAGTCAGTACTGTATTCTCTTCCTCAGACAGACTTTGAGTCCCTTGACAGCAGAAGCTATCCCTTAACATCTATTCCCTTACTGATGTGAGTTCAGCACCATGTACATAACAGAGGTTTCATACATGTGGATTTGGTCATCTGTAAACCTCAAAAAGGAGACTCAATTATTTTTTAGTTGAGTGGGCATGACATGCTTCTCGTTTAGTTCTGATTTCCAAACCATTATAATTGGAAAACATGTATATTAAATTAAAGCAATGCCTTCCAGCCCATGACACAAACTTGAAAATTTACTGTGCCACTGAGGAATTCATTAGCAAAATACCGCTATTTTGAAAAGACATATTGCACATCATTCAAGATTTAAATCCAAAGTATTAGGTCAAAAACAACAAAAAGAAAAGTTAATACTCTTCCTAGGATGCAAAAATAGAAATGCATTTGCATTCGTTAATATAAAATTCATTATTTTTATGACCTTGAGTTTGTTCTAGAAAACATTCAATAATCTAGGTTATTAATTTCAAAATGTTTATCAATAAGGAAAGAATCTTCTCTTTCAATACTTTACCATAACATAATTAAGAAAAATTCACCAATAATGTAAGCAAAATGGAGACTTTTCAATCACTTAATCTTATCATGAATGCTTGCATTTATTTTCCTATCCCTAGAATCTGTTCTCTAGGCAGAAAATAGCTACCTTTTAATACAACTTGTTGGTAATCTCTGAGGGGAATTAATATCCAAAAATGTTAGTCTTTATGTTTAAGTATTTTTAAGCATCGGAATTCACAGTAAATAAGCCTTTAATCAGCAATAACACTTAAGGAACATTTAATAGACACATGGAGAGTAAAATACCAGCATCACTCTCATACCACATGTAAATACTGGTTGAAGCAATTCCTACTACTTCACTTAGCAATCAGAATGTTCTGGATCTACTCAAATTCTATCTTTTATATATCAAAATAAAAACATGGAATTAAAAAAATATATTTGTCTTTAAAGATTAGCAAATATGCCCTTTCTGAGTGTCACTTTTATCTAAGTCAGCATTATTTTCCTAGCAAAAATCAAAAAATAACAAAAATGAAAGATGAAAACACCTGCACAAAAGAGTGCTCAATCCAACTAGTAGACAAAAAGAGAGAAAGAAAAAGGAAAAAAAAAAGTAAACATGGCACAGTAGGAGAATAAAGCTTCTGGGGAAAGAAAGCAAAGCTGTGTGACAGATGGAAAGGTCTCAATGGATGAATGGTACTATTACAAATAAGTAACAGGCAGCCAGAGGGAATCAAATAATGATTATGGAAGAAAAATGAGGGTTAAAAAAGATGAAAAGAATGTTTTGACTCGAGCTAAAGATTCTATGTTAATAAAATTTCCTATTTTTAAAATATATTTAATTACATATCCACAAAAGATAGAAAATAATTCATGTCAAATAGGGTAGACAGCTGTCAAGTGAACCAGTATGGACAATGTAAAAAGCTCAACATGTCCTTGGAGAGGAAGGAATGCATTCCACAATTTGTACTGGCATGCCCCCAAACCTGAACAGATTACTTTCTGACGATCAATATCTGTAACCACCAGAGGCCTGTTAGAGAGTTTTTAAAAAATCAGCTTCAAAGAGACTTGGTCCCCAGCTTACATTTTATTTTTGCCAGTGGGTGCTGAGGTAAGAGTTTTGGACAAGGCTCATTTTTCTTCTCTTTATAAGACTGTGAATTGAATATGAAGCGACCTAACATGTTCTCAGGCTCTAGTCAGCCCGATTCTGGCCCTGTTTATACATGCTGTAAAAGAAGACCAGCTTCCCTCACCAACTTAAAAGCAGCCTGTTTACAATCAACTCATGATAAAATCTGGCCACACTTTAGCTAGGTTTCCAATAGTAGATGTTGATTCTTCAATATGATTTTAGCCTAAGGTCAAGTATAAGTGGAGTATTTTATTTTTGAGTAACTGGCATTACAGTTATTTTACTCAAAAACCTAGAACACTTTCTTCCTATTTCTTCAATATGCTTAAATATTAGTGAATCAAAGCAATAGTTTTCTGAACATCTTTCTGCCCATATGAAATAATTAAAAATCAATTTCTAACAGTACAGCAAATTAAAAACAAACAAAACTCATAATTACCCTCTTTTATCAAGTGTAAAACACTTACTAAGATCTAAAATAACCTTTTCTAAAATACATTCTTCAGAACTGTCACTTGAGATATACTCCTATTAAAATTTTTTGCAGTGTTATTTTGGGCATTCTATACATTCTACCCTCCTCTTAGCAACTAATAAGAGACACAATCAAGTAAGTTTGAGAAGTCTCAAAACAAATGAAACTATTTAGCTTTATTTAGTGAAGTTTTTCTCAAATCCATTTGAATCAGAAGCTATTTAAAATTCTGCAAAACCTTGGGGTACATATGTTTGGAGTTGTTTTGCAAGATTCTACCTTGGGCTTCATTAGCTTCATTTGATAATTTCCCTTTGGCTAAAATAATTTTCCTAATTATTGAAGACAAATAGTACTCCTGAGAAGGCAGAGAATGAGATTTCTCCTACATCTCATTTAACAGCCACAATCTGAACAGAAGTTCACAAGATAGAATATAACGGAGATGGAAGAGAAAAGCCTCCCTTATTGTAAAATCTGTATCCTACCTGACTCTGCTCAATGCTTCTCCACCTCCAAGTAAGAGTAGTATTAAAAGCAAACTCAAGCATGATGGATGAAAAGAACAATTGTAGCCTTTAATCACACAGCTCTAACATTTCAACATTGTTGGTAGGTATAGAGAGTAGCGAAATTACTGGAGACTTAAATAGATGGATTAGAAAAGGTTCTGAAATGAGTTACTAGAGAAATTTTAAAATGGAAAGCTGATTAACTAATGCACAAAATGCAAATGAAATCTTATAATCAATAAACAAAAGTGTATAATATCTGGATTGTGATACTTAAAGTAGGGTAAATAATCAGAGAAGCTCCATATTTTAAAAATATAATTTCCATATTTTATAAAATTTAAATTATTTATGCTTTATCTTTTATATCACTATTCCCATTAGATATTTTTGAAAATTTTAGGCAAATAAATTACTAGAACACTGAATATGATATTTCATACTTGAACATTCCCAATGCAAATTATCATAATAAAGGTTCTGCCTACAATGCCTTTTAAGGTTTGCTTAATTGAATTTTTCTCCTACCTAATTAACTGGAGACTCGTTTACATAGTAAACCTAATAGTGTAAAAGGGTTTACTTTGGGAACTAATTACTACTGCTTCTTATGACAGATTATGCTCAAAAAGCTATGAAAATGTAGAAAAGTTTACAATGCTTGCAAGAATGATGGGTGGCAATATATTGATGGGTGGCAATATATTAAAGCAGTATTTCTCAAAGTGTGATCCAGGAAGTCCTAGGCATCTGTAAGATACTTTCAGAGAATCCATGAGTTCAAAGATCTTTTAGTAATACTAAAATATTATTTTCCCTTTCACTTTCATTGTCTTACAGATGTACAGAGAAATGGTCTAGAGCCTACATGACATGTAACAATGTCATCACTCTGATTGATAATGAAAAGAGCACTTGGATATTATAAATTTTTTAAATGCTTAGTTTTGATTTCTAACAAAAATAAGTATTGCTAGATATAACTTATATAAACAAAACCAAACTGTTTGAGAACACTATTTGAAAGTAAACATAGGTTTGGGTGCTATTTTAAAATGGTGAGAAGCTTACCATGGAGTCTGAAAGTTTACTTGGTATTTTAATAGCCTTTGGATCAATTAGAGAAGAGTTTCTATGTATGTATGAGTGACCAAGGTAACCTTCAGCATTTCCAATATGACAATAAATTATATTTGTGCAGAATTTTAAAAGTATTAGTGTGAGCAAAAAGAGAAATGCATTTTAGCTAGCTTTTTCTTTAGTATTTCATTTTGTGTCAGGTACTAAGCTGGGTAAATCTGAATGAACTAGTTTGTACTCTGACCTTTTGGTGATAAAATGTCTATGACTTTAATTACAGGTAAAAAAAAACAGCATGAATCTGTTTTCCAAAAGCTTTTCAAGTGAATGTGATTAGCCAGCGTGAGGCTCAACTGGCTGGCAGGATCACACTCTTCTTGGAAGCTTAAAATGATGGGTGATGGTGATAATCCTAGAGAAACAAAGTGGAGAATGGGTAAAAGTTCAATGGAAAAAAAAAAAAAAAATTCCTGAAAATTACAGAACTTTAAGTCACTACAGGAAGCTAGTGGCAATTAACGTTAGTGTGGCTCTGTATGTTTCAAGTGTGGGTCACTAGCCTAAAGATAGAATTAAAAAATAGGTAACTTAAAAAAGGAATTGAAGAATATTCTGGATTGGGGCAAAAGGAGAATCAGCTGAGAGGCCTTTGGAATGCTTAAGAAAGAAAACAGGTAAGTAGAATAGGATGACTTGGCAAATAGTATTTCTGTAACATGCCAGGATTTGATGGTGAGGAGCAAAGGGAGAGGGAATTGAAGGGAATTTAAAAACTAATGTAGGAGCAGAGGGGTCGGAAAGGGAAAACAGTGGCAGCTGCGGTGTAGTAGGTGCTGAGATAACGACCTTAGCGCTGGATAACGGAGCTTACAACACCAAAATTGGTTACAGCCATGAAAATGTGTCGGTCATTCCTAATTGTCAGATCCGGTCAAAATCAGTACGCCTTAACACTTTTACTGCGAACCAGACAGATGAAATAAAAGACCCTTCCGGACTCTTCTACATCCTTCCTTTTCAAAAGGGCTTCTTGGTGAATTGGAATGTTCAAAGACAAGTTTGGGATTACCTTTTTGGAAAAGAAATGTATCGGGTAACAAAGTAGAGTTGATTTTTTAGATACTAATATTATTATCACTGAACCATACTTCAAGAATCAATAAATGAAATTCTATTTGAAGAATACCAGTTCCAAGCAGTATTAAAAGAAAATGCTGGGGCTCTCAGTACACATAGATATTTCCGAGGTAATCCTTATGAATTGTGCTGTGTCATTGTTGATAGTGGATATTCCTTTATACATATAGTTCCTTATTGTAGAAGCAAAAGGAAAAAAGAAGCAATTATTCGGCAGCTACATGGCATGGATGAAACACGTGTGATTAATCAAATGAAAGAAGATGTATACTATGTGTCTCAGGATTTTTGATAGAGACATGGATACTGCAAAGTTGAAAAGAGAAGAAAATACAGTAATGATAGACTATGTCTTGCCTGACTTCAGTACAATTAAAAAGGGCTTCTCTAAGCCAAGGGAAGAGATGGTGTTGAGTGGAAAATATAAATTTGGGGAACAAATTCTTCGTCTGGGCAATGAGAGATTTGCTGTTCCAGAAATACTCTTTAATCCTGTTATAGGCTTTCAAGAAATGGGAATTCCAGAAGGTATTGTCTATTCAATTCAGAATCTACCTGAAGAAATGCAGCTGAATTTTTTTTTAAGAACATTGTCTTGACAGGAGGAAACTCCCTTTTCCGAGGATTTAGGGATCGGGTTTACTCAAAAGTTTGATATCTTACTCCAACAGATTATGATGTTTCTGTTATGCTGCCTGAAAACCCTATTACTTATGTCTGGGAAGGTGGAAAATTGATATCAGAGAATGATGATTTTGAAGATATGGTGGTAATGAGAAGATTATGAAGAAAATGGACATAGCATCTGTGAAATTTGATATTTAAGCAACATTTTTGAATGAAAATCTTGACTAGTTGTGACCATAAGGTTTAATTTCAAAGTTTCTTTTAAAAGAAGTTAAGGAACTGTGTTACCTTTCATCCTAAGAAAAAGCCTTGAATTTATGTAAATACTTTGATCCATTGCTAATTTTCAAAGGCTTCTTAAGTTATTATAGTAAATCGTAACTCAGTCCACATTTTCATTTAGGTGCTAGACTACTATAACAATGTTTATGCTGTTTCCAAGGGTATGTATTATTTTTCATTATATTTAAAACAAAACAAAACAAAACAAAACAAAACAAAAACGGGTGCCTGAGTTTAAACCTATAGTTCTTAAAAATAACAACTTATTGATGGGTATGGTGGTACACACATTTAGTCCCAACTACAACTGAAGGAGAAGGATCACTTCAGCCCAGGTGTCAGAGGCCAGCCTGGACAACATAGCAGAGCCCTCATCTGTAATAATAATAATAATTTGATGAAAATAATTACTTTAAAATGACAAATTAAATGATGAATAAGAAAGTACCATGAAACAGACTGATTTCTCTTATATAATTTCTCATTCGAGTCTGATTGGAGGTGGTTTAGTCAGCTTTTTTGATTGTTATTATTGTCCCTTATTCTCAACCAACCTGCTTCATGGTATAAATCCCTCATAGCTACATCCTCCTTTTAGACTAGTCATTTGCTTGATGGATATTAGATTAGAAAGGAGCTGTTCTACTAAGACTACTGTCTACCAATTTCTTAAACATATATCTAATAAATAAAGTCTGTTTAAGAATTATTAGACAACATATGTAAAGCCATAGAAAAAGTAGAATCATGTAAGAATTCTATTGGTGATATTAATATTGACAGATCATTCATTTGAAAAATATTAAGTAAGTATGCCCTTGTATGCCAGGCACTATGTGAGACTCTGGAAACACACTGATAATACACATGGTCAAGGGTGCTGCTTTCATTAGGTTTTAATTGAGGGTATATACACACAATTATGTTCAGGGTCATGCTACACTATTACCTGAACAGGGAGTGTCTAACACTGGAACATTAGAGAAATATTCACTTTAAATATGACATCTAATTGAGACATAAAGAGTTATGAGGAGTTATTGAGGCATAAAACATGGTGAAGAGTGTTTAAAAGCCAATGAGTCAGACAGAAGTAACAATAGCAGCATTATGGAGTATGTGCGAAGGCAAGGGTGGGGGCTGAAAAAAAGGTAGACTTAAGGACAAATCTCACCCTGCAAGTCATGTTAAAGAAGTTGGATTTCATTCTGAGACCAACTAAAGTCACTGAAAGGTTTTAAGTAATACAAGTCATGTTAAAGAAGTTGGATTTCATTCTGAGACCAACTAAAGTCACTGAAAGGTTTTAAGTAATACAAGTCATATTAAAGAAGTTGGATTTCATTCTGAGACCAAATAAAGTCACTGAAAGGTTTTAAGTAATAGCATTATCAAATTTGAGTTTGAAGAACAATCACTCTGGCTACTTTTGGAGAACAATTATGAAGGGAAAAAAATAGGAGACAAAGGAATCAATTAGAGAGGACAAAAACATTGTGACCTAAACTGAGATAAGGATGGAGATGAGAGGACCACTTTAAGGTTTACTTAGAATGTTGAATCAATAAAAATCAGTGGTAAATACTAAAAGGAAAAGAAAAATTGAAGAACTTGAGTTTAGGACTTGAGCCCTTAAGAAGAAAACATAGGTGGCAGAAAATCTGAAGAAAAAGATAAAGAGCTGAGTTTTGGATATATCGAGTTTGAAGTAACTCTCAGAAATGCAGAAATGGTCAATAGACAATTGAATATTCAGATGTGGAACTAAGAAAAGATACTCAAATCTGCAACTAAGAAATATGGGCCTCACTGGCATGGGAATAGTAAGCAGTGGAAGTATATGAGATCTCTTTAGGAAACGGAGTGTGGGGTGAGAATAGGGGAGGACCCAGTACTCAGTTTACAGTACACCAAGATGGTAATTGATGATATGATAATAATTTTCTAACATATCAATATAATTGCCACATTTTAAAAACATCTTTTATGTACAGACAATTAAAGTCAAAGGTTTAAGAAGGACTTCATTTCCCTGGCTTCTTACTTGTATACCCTCCACCCCTAAGCATGACACAGAGCAATCCAGGATCTTGGCACAGGTACTAGCTGATTCTGTTGAATGTTTACAACATCCCAAACTTATTACTAAGCATATTTTATACATTATCTTACATATGTAGCAGGTTCTATTAATATCCCCATTTTTAAATGAAGGCACTGAAATGTAAAGTTGTTAAATAACTTATATATGGTCACATAGTGGTGAAATTATGAAGCTTAGAAAAAGAAATTTTAAAAGAATTGGATGAATTCAAAGAAGAGTAGAAAATCAAGGGATCCCCACTTTCAAAGGTGTATTTAGAGATCTTGATATTTACAAATGAATTGAATTCTGAATGATCCTCACTTTTCCCATTTGTGATTAAACTGTGATGTCCTACGCTACCCTAGAAACAGTTCCTCTTAGAAAGTTTTGTTGTAAAGCTCTCCCCAGATTCTAAGAAATGTGGCCATGTGATTCAGATGCCTGCCTTCTTTATTTCCACATTTGTTTCACAGTAAAACCAGCATTACTTGAAAGTTCTGTTAACCCTAGTCTTCCTTATATCACTGGTTAATTCCAGAGACAATTATGAATTCCATTAATAGTGAAAAGTGAAATATAAGTGAAAAGAAATGAAGATACATTCTTATTTCAATGTACCTACTCTATGATGAGAGTAAGCAGATATGGGGTATCATTTTGTGATCTGATTATATAGCTATTTTCTATTTGTGTATTTGATGTAACAAAGTGATGTATGACATTATGAATTCTCTCCACAAGGACATTTTCTATTCACTGTATATAATTATCCTGGAAGCAATCAAGTTACAAGAATCTTCTTGGTAACTCTAGACATTAGTTGATAATAACATAATATGTATACTTAAATAATTCTTAACCAAATATTGTGTAACCTAAATGTCATTTTAATAAAGAAATAAATTTTCAAGCACACAAAATTTTAAGGAATATACTAACCATAGGCCCCTCTTTAAAAATACAGTGTATTGCATTTGACTAGGATTAATAATCATAGAAGCTTCGAGAATCATTATATTAAAGAAATAGTGGTAAGATACAATATTAGTTGTTAAAAAAAAAGAGGTAACATTTATACATCAATATCTTATTAACAAAAATTGCAGTGGGTAAGAAAAATATAGTCATAAATTTCATGTTAATTTTTTTTATATTTCAAGGTAGAGATATGGGGGACAGTTAATTGGTACTGTTTCAAACTTCTAGAAAAAGAAATTAAAACATGTAGATAAAAATCTCTAAAAACAAAAAAGCAAGAAGACCAGGTGTGGTGGTTCATACCTGTAATCCCAGCACTTTGGGAGACCAAGGCAGGAGGATTGCTTGAACCCAGGAGTTCGAGGTCAGCCATGGCAACCTAGCAAGACCTCTGCCTCTACAAAACAAAAACATCACCCAAGTGTGCTGGCATGCACCTATAGTCCCAGCTACTGGAAGCTGAGGTGGGAGGACTGCTTGAGTCTGAGAAGTTGAATCTGCAGTGAGCTGTGATCGTGCCACTGCACTCCAGCCTGGGTAGTAGAGCAAGATGCTGTCTCAAAAAAAAAAAAAAATGCAAGAATGAAAGAGTCAAGAAGTATTAAAAAAGAAAGTCTGAAACATGTCAGAAGACAAATGTATCAGATATGCATAATGACAGAATTTTTTCCCCTTAGGAAAAACTCAAAAAGGATAGAAAACAAAATTCAGCCATATGATGTTTACCACAGACACATCTAAATAAAAATAGAGAAAATGATTTAAATTAATAGAATAAATAAATATTCATCTAGAATAAGGCCAACAACAGAAAATTAGGAGTGGAGGTAAGAGATAGGGGTGCATTTTATGTTTAAGACACTAACCACAATGTGTACACTATTGTTCTTATTCTGGAATTATCAGGTTAGAGCAAGTAAGAAGATGGATCTGAAGAAGCCATGAAGACAAGACAAGAAAGTTCAGTGGCCATTGGTTCAAACAGGAGAGAGGAATGAGAACAGCCCCATGGACTATAGTGAGGAACATGATAACTGAGAACCCCATGCCTCCTGTCCTTGAGGTTTCTCTCTCTAAATTAGACCCCTAAAGGAGAGAAGTCCTGAGCTAGAACTACAATTCTGGTATTTATTGTATTATGGCCTATGACAGAAAGTCCAACTATAGAAAAATTATATTTTTTATTTGCCTCAATTTGTAAATTATAATTAATATCATCTAAATACTCCTAGTCTAGATGTTGTGATGAACATATCTTTTAGATTTGATTAATATCTAATTAACATCTAATCTAATCAAAAAATTAATTTGGATTAATTCACCTTTACCTCAATATCTAGACTAATATTTGACTGAATATCTGGGTATCATGGCCCAACCAAGATATATAAAATAATATATATAACTGACATATAAAATTAACCATCACAGAAAGCAAAAAGAATTTTACAAAAGCATCAGAAGTCAATATAATAAAACCTAATACAAAGGCCAGTATCTCAGAAACTGAACCTCAGAAGGAATAGTAAAACATACTATTAACCCCAATAGTTCCTTGTAATTGATAGCAGCAGGAAGCAGACAAATTCCTAAGCAAACAGGGGAAGGTCCCTAGTGAAACCCGACATTCAAGCCAAAGACAGCTGAAGCCAGAAGCCAAGCTTCCCAGTTGCAGGTAAAGTCCCAGATCAGAGTAAGAACTTCCTCAATGCCTTTTATCCAATCAAATGATGCTTTTCCAGGCTCACCCGTGGATCAATCAGCACTCACTCCCCAATTCTGAGCCCATAAAAACTCCGGGCTGAACCACATGTGGGGACCACCTGCATTCGGTAGAGGATACCC